AGTGTGTAGTAGAAGGAAGTGGCTGTGCATTTTTTAGCTTAAAATGTGGTTGTACAGCTTCTGGACGCGAGAAAAAACAATCGCTAACAATTCAGTGCTACTAATTACCATACCGGAATTTACATTAAAAACCTTGCTCTTGTGGCGGAGTACACTTGTTAAAAAGTTACTGACTTCAGTCACTAGAATACGGAATACTACATCGAACAAGAGCAAGCGAGGCATGTGGATGTCAGTCTGATGATCGCGTAGACTATTACCGTCTTGCCAATCATTAGCAACAACAAAAATCGACAGCGAATACAAAATGCAACTCCTAATTTTTGGTCACTGAAGCCATTTCTGAAGTTAGCTTAGCACAGCCAACAAAAATGACAAGAGAACTGAGCAGACCATAGTGTTTAGCAATGAGGTTATCAGCAAAATAACCAATTAGGACGTTTATTGTTCCTCGTAGCCTGCAGCTTCCTGTCGCGACTAAATCTGTCGCGTCCATCTGCTGCAGAATCGCTAAGAAGAACCTGCGAGCACCCAGCAGTCAAAGACAAGGCCGAACTCTAGTCGCTTAGTTGGCCTTGCGGGCGGCGGCAACAGCCTTCTTAACCAGGGAGCTCTTCTGCTTGCGGGCGATCATAGCCTTGAAGCGGTCGAAGTCGCTCAGCTCAGCGCGCGTCTTCTTGTTGTGCAACTTCTTTGCCCAGATCGAGGCCTCCCACTTCGCGAGGGTGTCGGCCTTAGCAAGAGCCTTCTTAAGAGTCTTCTCGCGAGCCTGGAGGGGGATGTCGACGGTCAGGTCCGTAAGGGACAGACGCTTGAAGTTAATCACGTGACGGTTCACGCCTGTGACGCTGAAAGGACCATCCACCAGGGCCTTGTTCTCGTCCACCACGTCGATGATCGTGGCGATCTTGCCGGCGTCCGGGCCGTAGTTGATAAGCACCACGCGGCCGATAGAAACGAAGCGAGTGAAGGTCTGTAGTTCATTTTGCCAGCAAAATATGACAGAGTGATGGTCAGTTTAACACATACGCAACAACGACGAGGGTTCCTACGACGCACCATTGTTGCTGAGAGGAAAAACGCCAAACGAACTAATAAGCCTCGACGTTGGCGGCAGGGCTTTTGCCCCAGCTTTAGAACCAGTCATCCCAACCCTACTCATCGGCTTTACTTTTCCACCAATCGCTACGGACTTGTTAAACGAAAAAGTGATATGATAGGTAGAAAACTAATATTAACAAAGCTCCCCATCGCACTGATGTCCGCATGCTGCTCTTTGTAAAGTGAAGGGCGGCGATGGCGACCAACCAAAATGGTCCGTGTGCAGCGCTTTTTTCACATTTCAGTTTGGAAACTTTCATCAAGTAAGAATGGGGTTCGTCAAGGTCCTTAAGAACAAGGCGTACTTTAAGCGCTACCAGGTCAAGTATCGTCGTCGCCGTGAGGGCAAGACGGACTACCGCGCCCGTAAGCGTCTCATCACGCAGGACAAGAACAAGTACAACTCGCCCAAGTACCGTCTTGTCGTGCGTATCACCAACAAGCAGGTTATCTGCCAGATCGCGTACGCCGAGATCGATGGCGACAAGATTCTGTGCCAGGCTACGTCGGCTGAGCTGCCGCGTTACGGCCTGACGGTTGGTCTTAAGAACTACGCCGCTGCGTACGCCACGGGTCTGCTTGTCGGCCGTCGTGTGCTGCAGAAGCTCGGCCTGGACGAGGACTACGAGGGCAACACGGAGGTTGACGGCGAGATCGTCAAGACCGAGAGCAACGGCCGTACCTACTTCGTGGATGAGGTCGCTGACGAGAAGCGCCCCTTCCGCTGCTACCTGGACTGCGGTCTGCGCTCTACCACCACCGGTAACCGTGTGTTCGGTGCCCTTAAGGGTGCTGCCGACGCCGGTCTGGACATCCCGCACAGCGAGAAGCGTTTTCCTGGCTACAGCCGTGACGACAAGAGCTACGACGCCGAGGTCCACCGTGACCGTATCTTCGCTATCCACATTTCGGAGCATA